AGAGAGAGAGAGAGAGAGAGAGAAGGGGAGAGAATTGAGATTCAGAAGGAAAAAAAAATAATCTGTGAGGGCAAATAATGTGTGCAGAGCGATAGCTTGGGAAAACTCAAATATGGGAAGAAAACGATGTATATTTTGAAGTACTCGTTCTATAGCTATGAAAGACCGTCCATTGCTTCTGGTCACCAAACACTCATCTAGATCAAAACATTTCTGGCTTTTGATCTAGATGAGGCCTTAGTTAGTCTTACCCTCAGCAACCAGTGTCTTGTTCCTCTTCTTGGGTTACATTGTAGCGTAGAGCTGAAGCTGTCGTTCTTCCAAGAACCTTAGAGTAGAATAATTCTGTCTGCAACCTCCTTGCGTTCTTTTGTTTTTAGTTATCCATGAATTGTGGCGCTGGCGAGAATTCACTGAAGGCAAACTGAAAATATTCTTATTTCTATCGCTTCTTGGGCTAACAATAACGTATAAGGTATTGCTTTTAAGGTATACCTTGCTTTAAATAGCTAAAATTGCACACATCTATAAATATACTCCTTCACTCATCCTACACCAGTCACAAAGACACACACTATATATCTGAGTATGTCCAAAAAGGACCCGAAGTCCAAGGTATGTTCGCCAAAATTAAAGTCCAAGGTATGTTCTTCTTTACACCACAAGAAAATCCTACGTCGAATGCACGAAACGAGAGCTAGGGATTTGTGCGAGTTGAATACTGCTGGCTGGGCCACACATACGAAGGAAGATGAAAGTTTGGGGCGAAAATCCCTTGAAAACTGAAACTCTCACAGGGAATTTCTCCGCACGTGCCAGGAGACTGACGTCATTGACGATCCTCGGCGCGCCGACCAATGAAGTATCGATTTGGCGTCGGAGTGATGTCCCATGGGGCGTAACGCCACGCCCTGCTCACAGAGTCCGCCCCGCCCCATTGGTCTGTCGAGGTGTCGGGGGCTGGATAACGAGCAAGCGTTGTGAGAAAACACGGGGCTAGCTACCTTTCAAGCGCGGGAAATTCCAGGCCAGGCTGACTGGAAGGCGGGGAGGAGGTACGTGGGGTTAACCCTATCCGTACGTCGTGTTTTACTTTCGTAACCATACGACGTGGGGGAACTCTGTGCCATCACTTTCCAAAGAGCGGAATTTACTCGTTAATCCGATCCATACTCTTTGCATAGCAGTCTATCAAAATGTTTTTTTGATAAATTACTGAAAGTTTCAAAGAGATTTTCGTACTAGGCCTAGATCTAGAAGTATTCTAA